TTTATTTAATTCACAAAAAAGATCCTTCTTGATTTGTAGTCTAATTGCTATGCGATTTTTATTTTACTTCGTCTGTTTGTGTGGCTCACTACTAAGAAACGTAGCGATTGATTTTTAATTTTTTATTGCGGTAATTAGACTGCTACTTCAGGGTTAACTAATTAGATTGAGAAGTGGAATTGCTTGAAAATGTTCACCAATGGAGGATGAGATCCATCGAGTACTAGAAAGAACTTGCTTGATCTCATCGCACGTGTTTCTTAAACTTGAAGTAGTGCAAAATAATGCAGTATCTGTTCATATTTCAATAAAACCAGTTTTTCCTTTTCTGCATTTTTGCTTCAATTTTATTTTTTGCCGTGGAAATCTTATTTGGGATCCTAGGATTTAGGCTGCAATTTCATTTACATGAGCAATATGCAGTTATTGTTTGACATTGGGATGATGTAAAGAGCCCAAACACCCAGTTTTGATTCATTTCATGGAATATGTACGTCAATAATCCATATGCACACTGCACCTGATAACGCGTAAGAGAGTCATTTGTTATAGACAATGCATAATGCATTAAGTACATGTACATTGACACAGTAGAGATTATATGATTCTATCTTTACAATTCTTGAAATATTACTCAAATGTACGTACTGTCTCAATTAATGTTTTTTGTGTACTGATGGTGGTGGGCACTGATCACGGTGATGCAGCAAAAGGTGTACGTTCCTGCTGGAGGGAGGAAGGAGCAGGAGCCACTTGAATTGGAGGTGTACAACCAAGGCATGTTCAAGACTGAACTCTGCAACAAATGGCAGGAGACCGGTGAATGCCCTTACGGAGAACACTGCCAATTTGCACATGGGATTGAGGAGCTCCGCCCGGTGATTCGACACCCACGCTACAAGACAGAGGTCTGCAGGATGGTCCTTGCTGGTGTTGCCTGCCCATATGGTCACCGATGTCACTTCCGCCACGCCCTCACTGAGAATGAGAAGTTCATGGGTCCAAATAAGCCCAGGGCAATGAAGCTGGACAGGTAAAATATCAGGTTTCATAAATATGATGGCGACGGAAGAGTAATAAGATCACAACTGAGGTTTGAGTAAACAGGAGAGCCAAGTGTTTATATTACATATGCCTCCAATGGGAACGGTATATAACACCAATTATATGGTAAGTATAAAACAAGGACATGCATAACATAACAATAATTAGTGTCATCTATGCTCTGCGGTGAAAGTGATCAGGAAAGTGTGCAAGGCTTCGTAGCCCGGATGGTGGAGAAAAATGATGAGGTGTATTGAGAGATTTGAGCTCTTGTTTCATTTTGTATCTGTTGTTTTGGGGTTCCATTAAATATGACTTTTGAAGCATCATTCATATATACATACATTAGGAATTTGGTGATGTCAAACCGAGCAACGAAGAGACTCTTTTTAATCATGTTGTTGTTTGGTTCTGATTGGACTCATATAATTCAAAAGGCTATTCCTCTCACGCAATTAATTTTCCTCGTATATTTCTTTAAATTTCCCTTGGATTGAATGATTGTCCATAATTGCCCATCTTCCTTACAGTTCCTTTGTTTATGCTGCCGTATTGGGGCAGGGCCAGATGCTGAATTTGTTAAGTAATGCTCTTTTTTTTTTTTCTTTTGGTCTGAACCATGAGGTGGTCCTGGATGGGCCCCAATTATGAGTGGCACCTTTAAGCCTTAACCACAATCCAGATTAATCCCCACTCACATCGGGTCGGCCCGTAAGGGATAAAGTGTTGGCCAAAGTGGTGACTCCGTACGATAGCAGAAGTAATGCTCTTCTTTTATTTGTTCTTTATTTGTTTTTTCTTATTATTCTTCATATTATTATTACTTCTTTTTTCTTTATAAAATTCCGAATTATTATTTTAATTTGGTATCGAGAATCACTTCCAAATGAAATGAATTTTGCGGGGGGAACGGAAGCCCATTCATCTTAGCCTATTAGCCCAAACAACCGAGATAGTGAAGAAGATGGAGAAAATTTTGGGCGCAGTAATGTTAAGAAAGGGCTTCATATTAGTCTAGCCCAACCACTGATCTCATGGGGAGGAGGGAAGAATTTTAGGCCCACTCATCTTAGCAAATTATTATTATTTCTTAACTGAACGAACTATACTCTTTTTCAGGATTTTTTATTTTTTTTGGGGGGATGAATCTGAGTAAAAAAATTGAACTCGTACGAAAATGTTAAACCCAACTTTGATTAGAAATCCGATAAAAGAAATAAACTTGTGGGTGGTGTTGGGCCTAGTGAGTTGGGGTTGTAAACTACAGTTGACCCAAGTTTTGTTCATTCAACAACAAATGAACCAGTCCAAACTACAACACTAGGAGAAAATGGGGATGGAGGTAGGGCTACGTGGCAAGCCAAGTCTATATTTAAAATAGGGTTGCTTGCTGCTGTCCGTGGTGATACGAAGAAGCGAAAGAAAGAAAACAAAAGAAGAGGCTAGATGAGAGAAGGGGGAAAGGGAGAAAGAGGTTGAGGAAGTTTGGGGATTGGGTGGGTTTGGTAAGAAAACTTGATCATATATCTGAATGAACTAGTCTCCTACCGATTCCACCCATTCCGATGATTTCCTCGGTCTCCTCCTTTTCCCCTTTGCTGTCCTGTCCAACCCTTTTCCGGACTATTATCAGATGCTGCTGGTAAGTTGGTAAGATCGCTTGCTCTCTCTTATTAATTTTCCTTTTTCTTAATCTAAAAAAATTCATATTTCTGTTAAGTTTACGTTATTGTAGGACCAAACTGAATTGAGCTAAAAAAAACAGAGAGTAAAGAACTGTGGATCAGATTCATATTTGTCTTTCCTTTGATTGATTTATTATGACGCTTAATTATAGTTGTTCTTATTGTGATATCAATTGTATATTCGTAAATGAAACAAGTGTTGTTTCTGTTTCAGTTGTTAATTAGCCCGCCGTTAGTTATTACGATATTAGGAGTGAAATATACAACACTGGCCAGTGGCCAGCCCAAGTTTATTGGTTTTAATTACCCCTTGATTATGTAATTTAATTATGTAAGTTCTATTTCCCATTTATATATATATATATAAATAAAAGAAAATAGCCTTCTTTCATACGCAGCTTATTATTTCCTTTGCGTAAGACTAAGAGGAAAGAAAAACTGGATGAGTGTGAGGCCATTTTCATTATGATGTAACAGAGGAAACTTTGCAAATTAAGAAATAAATAATGCTCAACTTGTACACTAATATGAATTCGGCTCTCTGATATAAATCAATTTAAGATTTATCCAGTGCGATGCCATTGCTAGCTAAAATACATGAGATTTTGGCCGGCCCTGCAATGGGAACTGCCTTTGGCTCTACCTCTACCTCTACCAAAGACGTGACATGCTAATTGGCATACATCACTTGTATTATAAGCTCGACTTGAGTTCAGTTCCTCGAACCAATTTCCATTCGAATTCGAGGGCATTTGGAATCTCTTTTCCCCAAAGATGATGCTTTACCCGAATTTAACGATTCTTCAGTATCCTCTTTCCGGGGCTTTCATCTTTTGGGTTTTCATTGGGCCCATTGTTGGGCTTTCATCTTCGATCACAAAGAAATAAATAAATAAATAAAGTAATTTAAGCGGGACTTTTAGAAATTCCAGTCAATGAACTCTCAATCACCGTCAGACCAAAAGAGAAAAAAAGTCCCAAAAGATGCCTTACTGATATTTACCCTTTTTAACCCTGAAAAACACACAAGTTTCCTCACTGGTTTCTTATATATGGAGAGGGAAAGTGACTTTACTCATAACCACCACTCAAATACAGAGAGAAGGAGATCAAAGGCTGGCAGCAAGAGGAAATGGAAATTTTTGGGTGAGAGGTTGCCGGAAAGAATACATAATATTCACCTAAGTTTTGATATTAAATTCTTTCCGAAACCTCCCATTCCAATGATTTCCAGCTATTCCTTTCTTTTCTCCAACCCAACACAACACAAGCAGAGTTTGGTAAGCCTTATTTGGTTGTCTCTGTTTCTTGAATTGTTTTGATTTTGTGAACTCATCAGACTTGGATCTTCACTTCCCATGTTCTTTTTTCCTTTTCTAAGATTAGTTGTGAATTGTGATGAAATATATGGGTCACTCTCACTTCCCATCCCAACAGACAGTGCATAATTCTGGAATTAGTAAATACAAATACATGAAGGACTCACGGTCACGGATCATTACACGGTCTGCTTGTTTTTTATGGAGTTATCAAATCATCAATCACGCTCTTACTTGTTTTCTTTTACTTTTTCTTTATTATAATAAATAATTTAAAGACCTAACTTTTCTTTTTCTTATTATAGAGCGAGTGCCTTTATTCTATTCCACCAACCAGTCCAAGCCACCGATACTTAAAGGCTGAACCCCTCTCCTCCAAAATAATTTGTTCAATTCACATCAATGGAATGGTTCCTTCCAGTTCCAGATGAAGAGAGAGAGAGAGACAGAAAGAGAGAAGAGGGAAAGGGAGAAGAGCTTGAGGAAGTTTTTGGCCATGGGAGGTTTGGCAAGAAATATTTATTATATATTCAACTACTTCAAGTTCTGTTTGAAGTATGTATGTATAAGTAGTTCTTGCCTATTCCTCCCATGCCAATGATTTCCTAATTGGGTTCATCTCTTTCCCTTGCTTTTCTTATATCTGGACAATCGTTTATTTTGTGAAGGAAGTCACATGGAGATGGAGCTCAATTTTTATCAATTTGTTCAACTCATTTGGGCTGGCTTTTTACAAATTCCACCACTGATCACGTTTATCAACAAACTAATAAGTAAGCTGCTTCTATACTAATGACCAAATATATTGAGATACCATTTAACCTAAAAATCAACTCCCGCATTGAATTGAAAAGTAAAAGATATACCTGATCAAAATAAAAAAAAGAGAAAAAGATATAGAGGAAAGGTAAAACATATAGAGGAAAATATAAGTTAAAGGACTAAAATATCGATAATATCGAAGAAATATCGAGGATATTATTATTTTTTCGAGTCTTAAGATATTTTGAAATATATCCCCTTGAAGTTTCTTATGTTTCCATAAAACCCTCTCATGTCTTGAAAATTACATAAACATTCTGTGAGGTTTTAGTTTGTTTTCACACTCTCCCTTTTCGTTGATTGTTTGTCCAAAAATTGAGATTTCATTGAAGAAAAAAACTTATACAAATGACAAAATTAACCCCAATGAAGTATATGCAATCTAATCTCATTTGGAGAATTAAAAATCAATGAAAATAAGTTTTGTGAAAATAATTTAAAATCTCAAGGGTGTTCTTGTCATTTCAAAAACCTCAAAAGAGTTTTTTTGGAAAAGTTGAAAATTTCAGGAAATATTAGTGTAAATAACTCAAATTTGAATATTATAAAAATTCTATGTGGTATTAAGTCACTCATATATCTTACTATATAATATATATAAAGTGTAAAATATTATAATAAAATATTATAAATAAATGATTATAATGTATTTAATTTTCTTTCATTAATTACTACATATTTTGCTTGTCAATTTGCTATATAATCAATTTAAATCAATTAAACCCATTATATAATGCATTTACTTCTAATTTTTTATAATAAAATAATAAATAATTGAATAAATAAACGCTCTTCCTAAAAAAATATTCGAAGCTTTTCTTATAATTTTCATTTTCTACCGACCGTGGTCCGTGATTGATTCCTTTCTGACATCTCTGTATCAAATTTGCAAAATTTGGGTCGGAAACAGAGTAGTCGGGCGTACATTGATATCATAACCGAAAACTTTTTTTTTGTGTGTGGACGAAATAACCAAAAACATAATCATGAGAAGGAAAAACGAATACCCCAAACCACAAGCAAGCATTGGATTCCAGTCGAGGACCAAAATCTAAATCTGTGGGGTCAAGTCAGTCTGAATGCTCTGCTCTGTTCAGAAACTTTTTTTTATTATTCTTTTGAGGAGAAGAAAAATAATAAATCAATATACATTTATTTATAGAGGAATGCTATTCACAATCGCTCAAAAGCGATTTGAGCGATTCTCACAGCACTTGCTAGACACGTGTACCCGTTCCCATCCTTTCTTTTTTTTAATTGTTTTTTCTCTTTCTTCTCTCGGTTGCCTCCCTCTCTCTCT